ATCAGCGTAATCAAGCATAAGTAGAAGTGGGGTCTGTGGAAGGGAGGCTTTCGTGCTGGTTAGTAACAGATTTTGCAGTCGTCTAAAGAAGTAACACGTTGCAAACACATTCTACTCACCTCAATGACAAGTAGCTTCCAAAAAAAGGCCCCGTCAAATAGCATGCTAAGATTTTTAAATATTATTATATTAATGTATTGTCTAATAAACCTAATACACGCAGCATGGTGCCAAGAAAGCTAGCTGTATATCCTCGCTGAATAGTTTGAGCAAGAAAAGCACCAGCTCTCTTGTCACCAGCGACAACCATGCTGCGTGGAATGAACAATGGATGCGCCAAGCATTGCTTCAGATGCTAAAAAAACAATGTAAATAAAAGACGTTAAGATTTTCGTCGGTGTGGCAATCAGCCGTTCAGCTTAGTGGCTAAAGCATCAGACCGCAAATGCTGAAGACGGGGGTTCGATTCCCACAGCGGTGACATTTTTTTCATACTTTTTATACAAATTTTAATGTTTAATCTTAAGTGCAGAGATTAGCACTATAATTTTTTTTTTTAAAATCCAGAAATCTCATCTTTTTCTCCGACTGCTTTAAATTCCATATTTTCAAATATATAGTTGTTACGACTTGAGTGTTTTAGTCCTGTTTATATTAAGATCAACTATATTCGAAATCCCCGCTCTAATAAAACACTACTTCACAATTTTTACCCGGCGAACCTCACTGGATTCCTTTTTAAACTAGCACGCACTTTCTGTAAACCAATAATCTATGGAGTGGTTTGTCAATTACTCTCAATTTTCGACTCAGCCAATCCGTACTAATATTATGAAGGCGAAATTTTGTATGTATGGATGGATGTTTGTTAATCTTTCACGCAAATACCACTGAATGGATTTTAATGAAACTTTACAATTATATAGCTTATACATGAGAATAAGACATAGGCTATAATTTATATACATATTTTTACGTATATCTGTCTTTCTGTTTAAATGTTACGCCTTCAGCCTAGTATACGCAAACGTAGTCGCGGGAAGCAGCTAGTATCGAATATAAAAGAAAGACCGAATAATTTTTTGTAATAGCAATGTTTGAAATTTTCTGAAATATTAGTACACAAAGAGTATTATTAGGTACACAAAGAGAAAAGTCAAAGACAAAATGATCCCTAAAGTAAAACAACTTACCAAATCTTCTTCATTGGTAAGTGATGTTCATCTATTTTTTTGGCAAATGTTATACATGTTTATTCAATTATCAAGGTATTATGGAGTAAACAAGTTACACATGTTTACTCCATAATAATTTTAAAAAATACTTAACATTTACAAAACAGAGTTAACCATATAGCAATGTCGATACCTTTTACGTGGCTACTTTCCAAAATCGTAACTTAAAACGCGTAGTCATAACAAAAGAAAAGAAACACAAAGTCTAAAACATACTTATATCATGCTATTACTAATAATGTTAATCAAATATAACGATGTATAATTAACACCAATAACTAATCTCATTTTCGGCCAATATAAATCTACGCGTTGGCTTGATAAATGTGACAGTCTGTGGAGTCCGCATTAATATGCAAGTTGGGCCATACGAATAACACGTCGACAACGCGGGGAGGAGCCGATAGTGCCAATAATTTCGGACGTGACTGCACAGCCATGTGTATGCGGTTTAGAAACTGCGATAGAGCAGATAGCAGTAAAATCAGTTGTAATTTTGGCCGAAATCATATGGTGATAATTGTTTTCCAAGCGGTCTGTTTAATCGCGTGTGAATTAGTTGAACACTTTTAACATCATAAATTTTCGATGAGCTACGTAACTATTAGACCAAAAGTATAATTGACATTTTGTTACTATAAATCTCCAGATTGTAGAAGTCCAACACATCATGGCGTGTCGGCATAGGTAAGTCACGTGTGTTTTATTGATACCAAAATGCCTTATATTTATGATTTTTCAAACTAGCGAACCACCCCGGCTTCGCACGGATGCAATGTATTATATATTTATGAACCTTCCTCTTGAATCACTCTATATAGTAAAAAAACCGCATCAAGATCCGTTGTGTAGTTTTAAAGATCTAAGCATACATAGGGACAGACAGACAGCAGGACGAATTTTTTTTTTGTACTATGTAGTGATGCACAGCAGAGACGTTTACATTTCAAGTGACATTTTACCACAGTCAGTCACTTGTTTTGCCTCCCCGGAACCCCTCCACTAACACTTAAACTTTATGGAATGGTATGAAAATTGAAATTGACTTTTAAGCATTATTACGAATCTTTTGTATAGGAATATAGAAAAGTGTTGTTTTTAGACTTTTTCGGGCAATTTTTAAATTTTTTTTCTTTCATAAGAACATTCTCCTGATAATAACAAACACAACAAAAAAACAAGTGAAATCGGTCCAGCCGTTGACGCGTGATGGCGTGACCAAGGGAAATGGGGATTATTACATTTATATACCTAGATAATAAAGGAATTTCGCATATAAATTGTCATGTATACATCATAATATGTTGTAAATTATTTCTAAGTAATGTAACAATAATTCAGATGATACTTAATTCGTGTACAAATTAATGCTACCTAAGTCGCTACCGGTGACAAACAAATAATAAAACAGACTATATGTTAGATACAATTTCTTCTTATATAATAATAATAATAATAATCGTTTATTTGTCTAAATATACATACAGTGCACAAATAGTGACGGAAGGTACACCAACTTTAATATTCCGTCCTGCCCAGACATAATTTACATAAAGAACACGCTTTATTATGGGTACTAAAATATTATACATTAAGTATTAATATAAATATATAATTAATAACTGTTAGCTATTATATTTAAAAGACTAGGTACTCAAAGCTCATAAATGGCTGCATCAAAAGCCATTTTCGACATTTTATTTTGAAGGCACTTAAGGAGTAGATGTTACAAAGTGGGGGGGGGGGGGGGGGGGGGGGGCAAGTATTCCAACATTTAGACACAGCAATTTAGCAGAAAGCAAGCCAATCTGAAGCGTCTCCTGTTATCCATTTTTAACAAACCCCTCTGATTCATATGTGGTAACACATGGTGTCGTTTTTGTGTCGAGCAAGAACGCATGCCGTCGTATAGCTATTACAGTTTTTGAGAGAGACAAGGACCATATACAGTATCACAGTAGCACAAGTTTGATAAGACTAAAGTATTACATAACTGTAAACGTAATTTTTCGTCAATGAAATTTCTAATTAAGCTTGCACACTTAGTTTATTTAGAAACATAATTATCCTAATTTTACACAGAATATGTTCATGGAACCGTAGGTTTTCAATCAGAAGATCCAAAATACGTACAGAATTCTGACGGCGTACCAAGAACCCATAATTGTAACACAAGGGTTGTTCTGCTTTAGAAAGTTTGACACACCGTTTTTCATTTCATTCGATAATAATTGCAGTTGGCAACGTCCATTTTATGTTTACTATAGCTAATACCAAGCCAAAGTGTGTTCATCACGGGACAAAGAAGAGAAGATGCTGAACAAGACTAGTGTTTGTACTACAAACCAAAATGTTCAGGTGTATATATTTTGGTATGTGTACAAATTTATTTATCTTAGTTCGTTATCAACGAGCACTCAAGGTCGTCAGCCGCGGAGTCAAGACCAACAATGATAACAACAATTACTTTTCCATGGAAGTGGTCAAAATCTTATGCATGTTAGTAAATTATTGCGCTTGTGCTGTTTTCCAAGACAATACTTATTTTTTTGTTTATCTGAATTTTTAATTACATTTATAATGATCACAACTGTAAATTATATTTTTAAAATCATAATTTTATATGTCAATGTTACAAAAATATAGAAGGAATTTAACAGCAGTTTAAGCCTACGGTACCTACATTTTGAAATAACAGATTTTATCGATACAGAGAAGGCAACTATTGAATGCAAAGATTTATAAAGATTTTAATGTGTGCATAGTAAACTACAAATGTTCATTGTAAGTCCGTTCAGATTATATTATTTACTATAGTCTTTTATTTACTTTATTATGACAAGTTTAACGTATTCTGTTTTCTATGCTTAAGAGTTGATTACCTAATTTATGGATGTAAGGAGTAGTGCGAAACGTTCATGCCACTTATAAAAGATAAATGACACATTTTTTTATTGTGAAAATATTCAACTCAACTTTTCGCTGTCTTTAGAACTACTATCGGAGAGTAACAATTGGGAAAAGAAATAACTTCTCAGTCTTGCTTTCTAAACTCTTTAAGCGTTCTTAATTATTGGGGTTAAAATTATCTGTTTAAATCCTGCAAACCACTTCAAGTAGTTTTGCATCTATAGCACCATTGTCGTTGCTATCGTATATTACTTTGGGGTTGAGAGTTATAATAGAGCATAAAATGCTGGTCTCAAAACCAGTTTTTATTTCCCAACAAGGGTATACTTGTTACTTCTAAAATGTGAAAGGCCTTACAATCATATAAATCAATATGTTTACGTTAACATTCATAAAAAATGCACAAACCTTTCGCATGACCCAATGTTTGAATCAGCAAATTCTTATTCCATCATATCAATATGTCTTGAAATTTTGGGAGTACTTAAGACTTAATGCCGCTGAAAACTTTTAGACGAAGTTTATAGTTAACATGTAAATTATACTGTGAGTGATTATTTTCTTAATATTTTTTAAAATGATTTACTTGAATATTGCAAAATCAGTTTTATTCTTATAATAAAATGTACTGAAATTGTAACAAATTGCCTATACAAAACACGTTTGAATGTGGCAAATTTCAGTTTTCAAAACTTTTCAGGCCCACTTAAATTTGACATAAAACCTACGCTAAGTTTTAAAATAATGCAATCATGTGAAGAATATTTGGAAGACTGTAAGGAAGTGAAGCACTTAAAGATGGGGCATTTCGGAAGCGTTGTGACATGCCGGGAGAGATCCTGGTTCCACGCGTTAGCTCTCCGATGGGGACCATGCGAGCTGCGTCCAATGCGACGCGGCAGCAACACGTGGTGTGTGGGATCGCCTCCGGAGGCCTAAGCTCTTTGTGCGGATTGTTTCCGCGCCTGAGGGCGAGCGGAACGCAAGAATGCGGCGTGCGTGCGGGCGGCGGTGCGGCAGGGTGCGCGGGTCCCGGGGCGGGGTGGGGGATGCGTCGTGGTGCGGGGCGGCGCGGTAGAACGCGTGCCGCAGTACCGTGGAGGCGCCGCCGCGGCCGCTCGCCGACGCCACCGCCGAGCCGGGCGCTCCGTCGCCGCTTGACGCCGCGCTCCCGCCGCGAAGGCTAGTGTTGCCCCACGGTGGTTCCCGGCCTCGGGGAATCGATTGCGGGCCGCCCGCGAACGGTACACAGCGCTTCGAAAGGTTCACAACTCCGGTGCAACTTTCCGTGTACGAGTTTCACGGACAAAGCACGGGGCGGCCGCCCGCGCTAAGGCGGCCGGCACTCATTGTTGCGCCTCCCGCCTGCCGCTCATTGTTACGAAACTCTGTCTCATATGTTGTATTGCTCAGTTACCCTAAAACAATCAGTTCTGCATTGCGAAGGACGTATTGAGACCACACGTCATTAGTTGTTTTTATTTTCAATAAGGTTGCGTGCATGCAAAAATTGCTAACATCTGCTTTGATATTTTTTGCACCAAAAATTATTGCTTTCAGATAGAGCCATTTATCTCACACTGTCTGGTCACACCTTTAATGTTAAACGTTCAATTTGTTATATTAAATTTAGTTTGCGGTAATATTTGAATTGCCGCCAAGATATCGGTAGGAAGTATCATCTGGCCACCCATTAATGTCACTAAAAGCAATATTAAATAAAGATACCGCCTACGTCACACTTTAGACAATATTTTAAACAAGTTATCCTTTATATCAAAGTTCCTATTCTAATGCTACGGTCATAATTTATCGTAATAGTTCTAAATTATTGGGCTAATTTTTGTCTGGAACGAATAGAATTCTTACTAGTACTTCTACTGGGAGTGAAGTTAAAATAAACAAGACAGCCCATGATGGATGGGTTACAACCATGAGTACTTTGTTTCTTAAGCGTTTAGCGAAACGATGTCAACTAAATGCCTTTCGCTTACTTTGTTTTAAATTATAAAAAGTTATTCAAACAGAAGAATTTGTCGTCGGGAATTCATGAGGAATATTTTTTTAATGAATAACTTCGACATTTGCTTTAATTACTTTGGAACATTCATTCATTTTTGAATTAATTGGAACAATTCAAGGAATGTGGAGTGTTCATTGATCAATTGTAACAGGAGTAAAGTTTAGTTTTACTATGTTATTATTTTACCGTAATTCAGTTAATTGTTATTAAAATAACTTTTTGATTTCGACCAAGCAAAATACGTATTTTTGTAGTCTTTATTTTAGTTTTAGTCTTTGTCTTCCCCGCCTACACACAAACGCTCTCTCTAAGTTTTTTTTAATGTGAGAAAGTGGCAAATGAGCTGGTGGTCCACCTGATGTTAAGTGATGACCGCCGCCCATGGATATTTGCAACACCCGTAGGGTTGCAGATGCGTTGCCACCTTTTAATAAAGTTGGCCCGGACTACCTCACTCACCAGACGAAACGCAGAAGTGTAACACTTCCACTTCACGCCGGTCTTCTGAGACCTTAGACCTGTGAACTTGCCCATTCGTGCAACAGCGAACAGTGTTGCAAGGCCCTACCACAGTTAACTTTTATTTGGTCTAACCATAATTATTGTTCCGCTGCTTAAAAGCCACTCTTCGCCACAAAATGAACTGTTTCGTAGCAGAATTACTTAAAGGCTGAGCTCAAGCATCCAATAGGATCTTTCTCTTGACGTTTATACTTTAACAATAATGTTTGTGTCGATCAATTTTGCAAGGTGTCTTAACTTAATGCTGCCCAATGTTAGTTGACAAATCGGGGATTATTAATAAAATTAAACGTGAACGCAATACTGAAACAACAAAATTTTGCCTTGAAAGTCATAATAATGCATTCGATAGCTATTATTGTGCTTGGCTTATTCTGAATTCTACGAATACAAAAATAAAAAATTGAACAACACCGACCCTTTGGAGTTTGCATAGATATAGATCTAAAATTAATAGTACTCTTAAGCTTAAAAACGTTATATGTATTATACGAATAAACCAATTTAACATAATCTTGCCATGGAAATAAAAAAGCTAAAGAAAACTAGGTTTTTTTTCGTTTTCTTTCAACGACAACAGTAAAGCCAACGGGTTAAGTACCTAGCAAATGTAATTGTTTCTTATGGTTCCGTTAATCTTCAGGAAAACGAAAGATAGGAATGATTTATTTGTATCAATCTTTATATGAATATGCACGGGGATAAGTCTGGGGAATACGGATTAAGCCAAAATCCTGTAGTACATCCATACATTACGTACTAGAGTCATTACTTATATAACGCTAGCCACATAGAACTTGCGTCCGAAATTGTTACACAGCCGTAATATAAGATTTAGGGGAAAAACAAGTTGGCATAGGGGTGACTGTAAGTGCTTATACTAGGTTATATGCTTTAACCCCTCATTCTATAGATAAAAATAAGCAGCTCCTCACGAAAAAGAAGGCTCCATTTTTATCGTTTACATTTTAACGGCTCTAGTATTGTCAATTCATGACTGATGTCGATGGAAGCTTAATATAATACTATTATGAGCAATCATTGACAGAAGATAACGTTTCGGGTCGTAATTAATACCTGTTTGATGGTCAGCTTCCCGTTTTTTCAGTTACTCGATTGAAATGCTAACACATACTTTTAAACAACGCATTATCAGAGACTTCAGCTCCGCTAGTGAGCCACAAACAGCTATTCTTAAAACCTTAGAACAAGGATCTCGCAAAAATTGAAAACTCTTGCGTGGGGATAGATGAAAGGTTTCTTTTCCTTATAAATGTACTTGTTGCTTTGACCGAGCCGCAAAAGAAGCACTCTAAGTAAATAAGTTTGAACAAACAAGGGCTGAAGATCGGCCAGATATACCCACTTTGCATAATAATAATCTTCCCGCGACTTTCAATTTCGACAGTGGATGCCGCTTTGAAAAGTCGAGACGAAACAAAAGTTTTCAGAGAGCCCGTTGCAGATGCAAGTTGCAATTTCACTGTCAGGTATCACAGTTTACCTTATTTTTAATAAACTCCTGGGCATGGTAGCCTAGTATTTTTCGTTATGTGTCAAAAATTTAACGTCCAAATTTAAGGTCACTAAACTCCGTGAAATGGTCGTCATCATTCTTACCTCAGAGAGTATTTCTTTGCGTAAGGGAGTAGCGGTTCACCTGGTACTAAGTGATAACCGCCACCCGTTAACGTCACCCGTAGGGTTGCAGATGCGTTTAATAAAGTGGGCCCTGGCTACCTCCCTCACCAGACGGAATGCAGAAGTATAACACTTCCACTTCACGCCCGTTTTCTGTGAGGTCCTGGTACTTACCCGGACGGATCTGCCCATTTGTGTAACAGCCGAAGCTGTCGCGTCACTTACCACAGTTAATGGTATACTTGAACAATCAAAAATAGCGTTGTTTTCTTCGTCCAAGAGTAATCAAACCTGCAGTTGATTTCATAACCTAGATGTCAGATTGACTCAAGACCTCAACGTGAAAAAAATACTATTCAGTATTTTTCTTTAGTTAATTCAATTTAAATTACGGTAGAAAGCGGTGTTAATTGCACGTCACTGACATATTTCTTGATAACTCCGTGACGCAGTTCCAAGTTAGCTTCGGCGCCGGGGGTCATGGGATCGATTCCCATACGAGATAGCTATTTATTTGACCACCAGATAATTGCTTCGGATTTGACAGTCTAAATAAAATATAATAATTTCAACAGAGGATAATGATATCCTGCAGTACGGGGCAATGTTAAAAAAAACGTAGAAAAATATATTTATTCTACGAATCTACGCCTATTATGGAATATCTTATGGCAGAAAACTCACAAACTTTTGTATTATTAATCAAGGATCTTGACGTGCTCATGGAAATCCCCGGAGCACTGAGCATTCTTATCACGGCACCTTTTTTTAATAATTTTAAAACGGCGTGATATAACATTTATTTCGTACATCGCTCCCGATGACATTTCTGATTTGTGAGCAGGTAATCAAAGTGTATTTTACTTACACCATAAACTTCCATTTACTCATAACTACTGCCGTTTTAAAGAACAAACATATGTCAGTATAAGCAGTTTTACTGGTGCGAGCATTACTGTTCAAAATCAGTAATTTATGTCCTTCAAAATCAGTAACTTATCCTATTAAACAATACCATAACGCGAGGTAATTTTATAAGCCCGTAGCTCTCCCGAAATGTGTATGTGTCTTTGTAGTTTGCTCCAAATAAAATTATCCCTTACTTGTGCCACAACTCATTAACTAGTTAAAGGCACGAACAATGGATAGTGCTGCGAATGTGTCAAAATTAAATCGCTTTTTGGAATTGCCATGCTTCGTGATTACCTTTCAGTCGGGAGCAGTGAATGGACACTCCTGGGCGTTTCAATGCAGAATTTCATTCTGCGGCACAAACGATGTACATCTGCGACAAGTCTATGCAGAGATTAAACTTTAGAACAAAAGCATTGCTCTATCGAAAATGTTTTACTTCGACGAAAACTAGTATAACTAATGTTACTCTTTGTTTAAGGTAATCGTACTTCATTATCGCATTCTAATGCGTTTTTCCAAACTTTTCCCCCTAACATTATATTAAAAATGCGTTAATAAAGCATTTATTATAGACAATGTTCGCTTAGCCAAGAATACATTAATTGTGAATACTTATTTTGTATTCTTTTAAAAGTGACCTGAATACTTTGTTTTTGGTAAAATTTTTGTAGTATCTATCTATCTATCTAGTGGGAAAATAAAATACGAGACAACGGTGATAATGAGAGGTTGAAAACGACTAGTGCTCGTTACCTAACAACTATCGGGGAAAATAAATTGAGAAGTTGGAAAGACTGATTGAATTTTCCATTCGATCGCAACGGCCGCGAGATGTTTATTCCATGAAGCGATAGCTATTTTAAAATGCAAGATTATATTCGTGCCATGAATCCATAAGAGATTTTTGTGACTTTTATTCGTCGTTCAATACCAATTGGGTTTGAATGAATAAATTAATCTAGTTAAAAACCCAATATGTAAATCGAATAACTCAAAACGAAAACGAGCGACATATTAACTACACCCAAATATTGTACGGTGGGAACAATTTAAGGTCGGGAATACAATAATCCCACATGCGTCTATGGTTATATCGCCCTGAATGGTACGGTGCTAGATACCCCGGTATGGCTTCGTGGTATTGCTGAATAAAGTCTATTCCACACCTGCGCTTATAGTTAAGCCTCTTAACTCAACGTCAGTTTACGACGGCCACTGATAGACCAGCCCCGCTCGACTGCGTGAAACTCGTAAACCGTTTCAGCGCAATTAAGGAGATCAACTGTATGAAATTTACCGTACAGTCGTTCTGCCTCCACTTACTGCTCAATTGCATTGTATTTTCAACCGTCTCCAAAAAAAAGAAGTTTCTGAATTCGGTTTTATATTTTTATATTATACGTCCAACACGAATATACCTATCCGTACGAATTGTTTCAAAAGCGGAACTAAAAACCAACCTAACAAGATAGTACCTACACAGATACGATGAAAATGTTTTAAGTGAAAACTTGTGCATGCGGTTCTATACGAACGAAATTCAATAACTGCAGGAAGCCGCAGTGTAAATTTAAATTTGCCTAATCTGTACCTATTCAATATTCGCTCGGCGGTTCTGCTTATTAAGTGAATCAATATACTTCTTAGAAGAAACATATAATGTTTTAGCATACTTCAACATAAACACATAATAGATATTCGTTTCTAAAAAGTATTTGCTGATTTTTTTTTGCATTTTCACGTGGGTTGTGATTTCAGGAGTGGCTCGGATGCATTAAAAGTCGTTGAGCCTCATCACTGTAACACGACTTTAATTTACCATCGATACCACTATATGTGTGTTGACGGTGGTAGGGCCACGCAACAGCCTCGGCTGTTGCACGAATGGGCAGGCCCGTCCGGGTAAGTACCACGACCTGACAGAAGACCGGCGTAAAGTGGAAGTACAAAAAATACTTTCGCGTTTCGTCTGGTGAGTAAGGTTGCCAGAATACAATTTTCAAAAGGTTGCCAAAGCATCTGTAACCCTCGGGTGTAGCAAATGTACATGGGCGGCGGTTTTCACTTAACATCAGGTGAACCGTCGACTCGTTTGGCAACGTTTAACATAAAAAAAACATTAAAAAAACCACTATGTGTGGTATGATAGTTCTGAGGCCAGCTACCACTACCATACACTTTATATGATATTTTTTAATTAGTTGACACTAGTTATTTTTCCGGAGCGGTACGACTTACGGACCCATAAGATGACAGCCTATTTTTATCTCAAAGGCCGGCATAACTTTTGAAACGCTTCTTTACTGTGATAAATATGTATGGATGGCGTTGAAAATATTAGCCGCTTCCTATTTGACAGATCCTCGTGAAAATCGCCTTTATATTTTTTTAAATAGTTGAATAGACAAATTTTGATATGAATTTGAATTTTATATTGAAATTTGATATATTCTCTGTAACTATGTGAAGTAAGATAAAATACCAATAATGTTATTCATATTTTATTAAACTGTGGTAGGGCCACGCAACAGTGTTCGCTGTTGCAGGAATGGGCAGGTCCGTCCGAGTTAGTACCACGACCTCACAGAAGACCGGCGTGAAGTAGGTGTAACACTTCTGCGTTACGTCTGACGAGTGAGGTAGCCGGGCTCAAATTCATTAAAAGGTGGCAACACATCTGCAACGCTACGGGTGCTGCGAGTGTCCAAGGGCGGCATGTATCACTTAACACAGTCCACTTTTGTGACAGTGTGACATTAATTATAATAAGTAAGCTGGAACCATCATGCTGATGAAATAAATTAGCTCTACCTTAGCCAAAGACATAATATAATTTACTGAAATCAATTAAAATATCATAAGTATATCTGTATAACCATATCTATCACTGCTGGGCATGGCCCTTCTTTCGGCATCTAGCATGTGATAATTCAGCACTTAAAAATTCAGCTAACAATATTGTTAGTGCTGACACTGGTACTTGAAGTCAATTGGTCGAGTGTACAAAATTCAAAGCGAGTGCTAGTACACTCTGCTATATGTATATTCTTTACAACATGCATTGAGTTACTCGTATATAGTAGACGCTTCGCGGAATAGTATATGTTAAGAAACTCACACTGGCTAACATCTATAACTTAGCTTTAACTTTTACTGAGCACAAAATGGTAATTACTGTAAATGAGAGTAAAATAAAGTGAAAATCTATAAGTTTCCCACTGCTGGACAAAGACCTCCTTTTATACAGAGGACGTCAGGGCATATGCACCACGCTACCCCACCATGGATTGGTGGATTTCACATAACATTATGAATTATTTTATTTTGCTATTATTCCGAAAATATTCAGGTTAACTCACCTTTTCCTTCAATCTGAACAAGTGACAATTCAGCACATAAAATAAACTATTTCGTTGGTGCCGGCACCGGGAATCTAACGCAGGTTGCTCGAGTATATTGGTTGAGTTTAATTAAAAGCAAGCGCCCGGACATGGAGCTATCACGACTCTTATTAATTAAATAATATTAAACAGATAAAAATAAAAAAATCATTGTTTAAAAATATTCAGTGTAGGCGCTACAATAAAATACATTGTGTAATCGTCTCTTTGACCCAGAAATAGTACCGTAGAATGGTGGCGACGGAATCTAGCTCTGTTCTCAGTTCTGTTTAACTCAAAACTTTTTGTAAGTCCCTGTCAAGAGATTTCAGAACATCATAATAGTTCTCATACAGTGTTGGACAGTTCGTGTCCATATATTATCCTCGACATATCAACGATTTATTTGCAAGGAGCCAAAGAACACGTGTTAATGCTCTCGTGCTACGGCCACGATATTCCTTTAAATGTCGCTATTATATCGTAAAAAGCGATGCTTGGAATTTTCAGCGCTGTTAAAATTCCTCTGGTTCTCAAATTGTCAAACAAAAATGTTCAACAACGGTACACAATTCCCGGGAGCGAACTTTACAAGCTCAATACTAAGCTGTCTGCGTGTAGGCGGCCACACGGGTCGAAATTGATGCTGGTCTCCAACCAAGGTGTTACGCGACCTTAATTGCTTGCGATATATCGTGCAATCTGTTGAAATAGTGTACGGTGTTCGCGGTGATAAAATTTGCAATGCTCAACATATCGTCCGGCTTTATTCATTGCGGCACTTTGTCACAGTGCTTGCGATATGTTAACGCTGCCATTTAATAAGTCAGCATTCTAGAGACTTATAAGATTGATTCCATATGCTTAATGTTTTAAACATAACATATATATAATGTAACCTTAAAGGCCTTTGTTGGTAAGCGGACATTTTCTTGGTATTTTTGATTTAAGAATATTAGGTCTAATGGCGCTTTCCAAATTGATTTAATTTTTTTCTTAAAATAAGCTACAATTTTTTTTTATTTAAATCATGTGGCGTAAGCAAGGACCAGGACCAAGGAATACAGATTATACACAATCTACCATGAATCTTTTATTTTAGCGTACAGAATAATAACAAACGCGTTTACACGTTTTCTTAGGCTACAAACCACGAGTAAGCTGCAGGGCAGTAGCTCTCACCAGTGGGTTTATATAAAATAAGCTATAATTGGAATATTTAATCCTTTATACTTACCTTTTACGACACAAATAAATTGTCGCAACACGTTTACTCAAAATACCATAGTGATTTAAGACTTTGTTTAATATTCTACTAATATCTACATTACACGATGAAGTCTCCAAAAGCCCTACTCGAGTCACCAAAGTGGTTCTGTTTAAATACCAAAACATACGTAGATGTTATAAGTAAGGTTACGTTTTCCAGAATTTGGAATTACTTCAGACAGTTAAGACCAGCTAGATTTTTTAATGACATTCGGAAAACAACCACGAGCATTACGGGTATTGCGGTTGTCGATCAACGATAATAATTACTTAATATCAGGCGAACCAGTACTACTTCGTCTCATGGCAAAAACCGAAAAATAAAATAAAATTACTGGAAAGTCCACCAGAGTTATAAGTGCTATCTCTACTACATTCTATTCTATGTCGATGTCTCTAAGGCAACTTTATTAACGTAAAGTAGCATTTAAAAAATATATTAACCGCCACGCTTCTATTTGGCCTTTTTTTCCGTGTCCTCAATAGCTATATTGTGAACAAAAACAAAGTCAATCTAACGTCTAGATTTTGAGTTTTGTGGATATACGAAAGCTTAATTATTAAATACAGGTTAAGGAGATTACAGACATCTAACAGCTTAATTCTTAATTCTCTAATCTATTATGTTACGTTATTATTTTGCCAAAGCACTTGTTTTTCATCTCTGTGTTCGGGGATAATAATAGGGATCAACTAGG